ATGTCATGTATTTGTTCTGTCAGTCATGTCATGTATTTGTTATGGCAATCATGTCAAGTATTTGTTCTATCAATCATGTCATGTATTTGTTCTGTCAATCATGTCATGTATTTGTCCTGTCAATCATGTCCTGTGTTGCATTTGTTCTGTCAACTATGTCATGTGTTGCATTTATTTTGTCAATCATGTCATGTATTTTGTGTTTCAATCTTGTCATGTATTTGTTCTGTCAATCATGTCATGTATTTGTTCACTCAATCATTTCATGTGTTACATTTGTTCTGTAAATCATATCATGTATTTGTTCTGTCAGTCATGTCATGTATTTCTTCTGTCAGTCATGTCATGTATTTGTTCTGTCAATCATGTCATGTATTTGTTCTGTCAGTCATGTCATGTATTTGTTCTGTCTATCAGGCCATGTATTTGTGCTGTCAATCATGTCATGTATTTGATTTGACAATTATATCATGTATTTGTTTTGTCAGTCATGTCATGCCTTTGTTCTGTCAATCATGTCATGTATTTGTTCTGTCAATCATGTCATGTATTTGTTCCGTCAGTCATGTCATGTATTTGTTCTGTCAGTTATGTCATATGGTGTATGTGTTCTGTCATTATTGACATGTGATGTATGTGTTCTGTTAACCATGTCATCAGTTGCCCTTGTTCTCATTTGTGTTGTGTTTTTTGTCGGTTTTTTTTTTTTTTTTTTTGGTCAACTTTACCGGTGTCAGCAACATCTAAGTCTAAACGGGCCTCATAATTAGCTATATCCTTTTTTTCACTGGGAGTTTCCATGAAGAGATAAGGCGTGGGGGTTGGGGGGAGGGGGTGGGGGTAAGTGGGCCAAGTCATCTGACTCACACTATGAAAGTTTTAGATTGCTTTATTTGATGCGTTTCTGTTCCTGTTGGTCTTTTCTCGATTTACGCAGTTTGTGATGTCTGAGATTCGTGTGACATCCGGCTAACTTCTGCGGGCAGACAGTCAGTGTCACATTTGTGAACATGAAGGAAAAATGAAGTCAGTCCTCTCGACCTTAACTTTACTGCCTTACTTAGTCGCTTCTCTTCTATTTTGGGGTGTAGAGGTTTGCCAAAGAGATAGCTATACGTCTCTATTAGCAGTTTTCTTTATGGCTTCGTTCTATTTCAGTTCTCTGTCGGTCATGGACTGTCCTATGTTGTCTTTCCAGCAGACCCTGGGTGCCCTGGTCTGGTTTACTGGTTCTTAGCCTCCCATGCCTGCCATAGAGGCCGATTTTCTTCCATTAAGCATACATGCCCAAAAAGTCGTAACTATGACTGATCCACTGGGTTACAAAATCTTGACGTATCGTCTGACTGCTGAATATCACCTTGTCTAACAGCCTACCGGCCTTAAATTCTTCTGACAGTTGGTCTTCTTTCATAATCTCTGCAGCTTTTGCAGAAACTCTGTATTGCACTCATCAATCGTTCTGTGATGTTTTTTTTTCTCTCTGCCTAGCAGTCCAAGGAATCTTATCATGTACCTTTTCTAGATCTAGAAAACGTAGGCGCATCTCACTCTTATATTTAAAGGCTTTGCCACTCATATGTCTAAGTTTAAGGCTAAGGTCTTGAGTACTTCGGTTTGCTCTAAAGTCACATTATGCCTGATCTAGCTGTGGCTCTGCCAGACTCTTACATCTTTGCTAGAGAGTTCTAAAGTAACTTTTACCATAGATATGTCTATGTGGCTTTTTCACACTATCTGTTGTCACCCTTTAAAAATATTTAGGTATAATGATGGCAATCTCTCAGTCTTTTTGTATTGTTTGACTTCACCAAACTGCATAGAGAAACTTCACAAGAAGTCTCTCACCTGCGACTTCCAATATATTTGACCATCTCTGGTGTTATACCATTATGACCTGCTGCTTTTCCAAGCTTAATTTTCTCAGTGGCTGCCTTCAATTCTACCATCCTGTTATCATCCCCATGGATGATTTCTTTCTCAGTAGTGAGGTCCGCTATTTCTGGGTCATGACTCTCCTAAACACCAAGTAGCTCTGAGAAGTATTCTTTCCTTGTGTCCATGACATTATTTGTGATAGTTAGCAAACCCCTTCCTTGTCTTTTATTATTTTAGCTGGCACTCTTTCTCCTTCCTCGTGTTCTTGAGGGTCTTGTAGAATAGTTTTTGATTTTCTCTTGCTATCGTTTACAACTTTTCTCTGTATTCTCCTATTGATTTCTGTTTTGCATTAAGCACAATATGTTTGGCCTCTGTTCTGAGTGTCACATATGTTTATATGTATCTTTTTCTTCAGCTGTGTTTCTAGCTGCCAGGTATTGCTTGCATTACTTTTTTTCTTTTCTAAATTTTTTTTTTCAGATTGACTTCTTTCGTCCATCAAGGTGTCCTCTGTCCCCTCCCTCCACCTGGGATTTCACCACGTGCTTCTACTGCAGCTGCTGTGAAGATATTCTCGAATCTGCACCAGAGGGTTTTAGTGTCTTATCACGGTTCTTCTTCAGTTCCTACAGCTTTCACTATAAGCATATATTAGCTACTATTAACATCTGGCTCTCTTAGCGTGTATGCCTTAATCCTCATCCCTTCGCGATCGCTTGGTTTCTTGCATGGTTGTCGATGTTGCCTTGTTGGAGCAGTTCTTTCATCTGTTCTCTTTATTGTAACCGGATAGTCGTCACATCTAGTCTCTGGTCCTCTCATGAATCTGGCATCTCTCAAAACTGAATGAACTTTTCCTTACTATGGGATAGTCATTGATGGATTTTTTTATTCTTTGAAGGTTCACATCTTGTGTATGCATGTATTCTTTGTGGATAAATTTTGTGTTTGTAATGGCAAGATTCTCTTCCTTACATAATCTGAAAAGTCGCTTTCCATTGTCATTCAAAACATCTTCACCATGTGTCGATCACTGCATCCCTTCTAGTATGATTATGTTCCTACTCTGGCATTTAGATCTCCTAGGAGGATAATTACCCACTCAAAATTGGTGGCAACCCTATTCTGGAACTTTGCTACGCAGATGACACAGTCCTCCTTTCAAACAGCGTAAAGGGAAAAGCAAATTTAATATTGTCTGTCCAAAAGCACAGTGAAGATCAAAATCTGTTCTTGAATTTAAAGAAAATAAAAATAATGTCCACAGATAAAACTGGCTGTCACCCAAAAATAACAATAAATGATAAAGGAATTGAAAATGTCACAAACTTTGAATATCTAGGCTTTATAATGTTCGGACTGTTCGACAGAAATTAAAAGGAGGATTGCCATAGTAATGCAAAGATTGAACAGTCTTAAAAGTCTATTGTTAAGCACCAGCAAGGAGATAAAAATTAGAATTTTGAGAGCATGCATCTTCCCTGTGGCTACATACGGATGTGAGTCGTGGACTATCTCTCAGTCCTTGAGAAAGAGAATAGGGGCTTTTGAGCTGAAATGTTTTAGAAAGATTCTCAGTATATCTTGGTCAAAGAAGATGAGAAATATTGACATGTTAAAAGATCTGATCATCAAGGAAGATTGGCTAATAAACAGCATCCTTTCCCGAAAGCTGAAATATTTTGGTCATATCAAGCGCCACGACGAACTGGAAACAATTATCGCAGAAGGCATGGTACCAGGAAGGAGGGCCAGGGGCCGACCGAAACGAAGATGGACCCAGGATATAAATGCATCCTTGAGTATAAAAGTGCATGAGACAGGAGAACTGGCGAGAGACCGAGTTTCTTTCAGGCAGACTGTGAGGAGAGCGACGTTCTGGAAAGGACCTGCTACATGATGTTGATGATGATGAGGATAATTTCCTTGTGACAGTCATCTATGGTCCTTTGGGGCAGTTGAATAAATTCTTCTTTGACATCTTCTCGCTAGTCTTCATTTGACTCGTTCACCACGACAGCATTGACAATTTTATCTTCATCTTTCAGATCTAACGCTATCATTCGCTCAGAGATGAATTCCATCCTTTGATATTACTAACTTGATTCCTGGCCACAACACAGCCAACACATCCCTTGGCTATCTTTTATAAGAAAACCACTGTAGAGCCGCATGCTTCCATCTAGCCAGGATTCCTAATTTTGCTTTCTTTATCTTCCCTACTAACATATGATCATTCCTGTTATTGCCTCGTATGTTCCATGTTCCGTAAATGGTAGTCCGTAAGTCAGGCCAGTTGATCGCCGTTAAGATACGTAGGATTTTCTCAATTAACTTTTACTTGTAAAATTTTGCGTTTACTTTTAGCTTTTAACTAAAAGTGACTTTTAGTTTTATCTTTTAACTTTAACATTTCAGCTGGCGTCTATGAGGCAGAGCCTCGGTTACCCTGATGAAGATTTCGAAGACTCAGACATTGAAAAGTTCTATGAAAATGTGAGTAATTCTGGTGTTTGTTATATTCTGACTTTGATATGAGTTAGAGAAACTGATTTTAATTTAATTTAGAAAAAGAGACTTTCATTATTATTACAGTAGTTGACAGTTGATGTTTAATGTGGAATTTCTTTCAGTTTTTGGGAACAAATATGTTAGGAGTGGAGGGAGGGTGTGTCACGCGTAGTAAGCATCCAGCAAGACAACGAATTGTACACGTTGTTGTCATAGGCTGCATGCAGTCGTAAGACGTAGTCTGCACTCTCTCGTCGAACGTAAGCTAAGGCTGTGGTGTGTGTGGGGGGGGGGGGGGTGGGGGTGCTTTACGTTAGAGTTAGTTTTAAATTTTATTAAAAGGTTAGTGGCTTATCCTTTACAAGACGTTGCAGAACCAACCCAACAGCCCCTGGCTGTTGTGTGGTTTCTCTAGACAAATTTACGTGCAGTAGTTTGCTATTGCGATGAACGGTCGACCTCCCTGATACCACTGTCGAAACCAACGCAAGGCGCAGGGCCCGCAGCTGGGATCGAACCCCGCACCCTGGCATTACGTTTATTTCCTAATTATAATGTATTTTTCCTGTTCTCGTTGCATTTCATTTGGTTTTTGTCTTCAAACTACTTTGATGAAGGAAAGAGTGGTCGGTGAATTGGGAGGGTGGTTGGGGAGGGTAGCATAAACAGGTAACTGAAAAAGCTGTAAGTCAAAGTAACTGCCTTACCCTCTCAAAGTAGCAGTAGTAGTAATTGTGATTTGGCGGTTCAACCGTAGTGCGGTCATGCCGGAGACCGCCGGTAAGGTGATAGCATTTTTTTTGTCGGGGAGCGAAATTACACATCCTTACCTGACCAGTCCGTGCCGACAGCATTAGCCTTGCGGCGCCAAATCCTCTGGCTCACGACTCCCTGTCTACTCCGACGGTAAAACAGATAGCAGTGACATTATTTTATTTATTGTGGTGGCGGTTGTGGTAGTAGTTGTACTGGTATTTGAAGGATAGTGTGCTAAATATTTCAATTCTTGCTCCCTATTTTAGTCCGGATGGACAGGGGGATATTAATGTCAGTAAAAAAAAAAAATATCGCCGGGTGATGACTTTCAAATCCTTAGATGAGACAGAGAGCAGTATTCGGTGGATGGGGGAAGGGAGTGGATGATGACTGAAATTATTAACTTAAAGAGCTTAACGCATGATTTTAATGTTTTCATTTCCTAATTTGTTTATATTTTACTAACGCTACCTCCGCTATTCTCATTTTTTAACGACTTACTTGTTTTTTTTTTTTTTCAAGTACAGTTGTAAGCGTTACTTCTGTCTCTTTAAAAAAAATATAAACAGCTTTAGCATGTGATAACTAAATACCCATTTTTTTAATGTGCTAAAAATACCATTTAAACGACCACTAATATAAAGACGCAATTATATGTTGCGTGTTCTAAAGTGGCAAATCAGACTATCTCTATATCTGTGCAGAGAATGATTGCGACTTTAACTATATTAGACATTTGCGATTTCTATTGTGTTTCCTTTCCAAAAGCCTTTGATGAGGGAGCCAGGAGTTGGTGGATTTGGGAGGTGGTGGTGGGGGGGGGGGAAGATGACTATCTCTGTAACAATGATTGCGACAGTAACAACATTAGACACGTGTGATTTCTATTTTCTTTTTTTTTTCCATTTAGCCAAAATATGCCACAACAACACGTGGCTGGGTACAACTAGTATATATATATATATATATATATATATATATATATATATATATATATATATATATATATATATATATATATATAGAGAGAGAGAGAGAGAGAGAGAGAATTCATATTCATTGTTATATTTGATAACCCTAAATATCTTCCACAAAAATATAAATGGCCACCCGCATTGAAAAACCTATCTGCGAGTAATTCTGCTGTTTCCTCTGTCGCTCAGCACACTATGAAATACATGGATTACTACAACAATGAGGTGATACGTTTTAACCAGGCTCGCCAGCTAATGCTAAAGTCACTGCGACAGCCTTCATCTAAGAACCAGTAAGCATTCATGATATTTCAAAACATTGAAAAGAGGCTACTTCTTTCTTTATTTTCTTCTCTTCCTTTACCAGCTCTTTTTGTTATGCCTCTTTTCGCAGAGGACACAGTATCATCGGCAGAAAGTGAGCAAGTGTGCAAGACCTTGTGTAGCCAGTAAATAGGTCAAGTGTAGAGAATGAAGAGTGATCAACGATGTGCCTTATCAACAACAGAGTAAAAAAAAAAAAAAAAAAAAAGCAAACAAACAAATATCATCAAGGCAAAATAGTGTCAGCCATCACATTCGTATGAAGACTCTTGAGTTACCAGATGTTGGGGACGGTTTCTTTTGTTATTTAACACTTTAAATTGTGTGCGTGTTTTTCTTCCAAGTCTTTTTAACAGTAACTAGGATTAGTCTCAATGTCCTCATCTTTGTAAATCACGTGTTGTTATTTTGGTAATTGGGAGAGGTGGGGTGGGGGCGGGTTGACCTGAAAAAAAGTTTGATACACTGGCTTAGATATTAATATGCAAACAAAAATAAAATATATAAATATCAAAGAAAAGGTGGTTCCTGAAATGAAATTCACTAGCAGGCAAAGCTTGTGGAATCGGCAGCAATATATCTCTTATGGTGTATGTGTAATAACAAATGAAAACAGAAAGGGGAAAAGAAATCGCATTTCAAAAGTGTCTTTAAGATTTGTCAATAGGATTCATTTGTGTAGTTCTGCAATGTTCTGTGCCGTGCTACACGACTTACATTGACATGTAATAAATCACAACACACGAATTCTCAACAACAACAAAATACATGTATCTTATTGGGAGCCTCTGTGGTCTAGCAGCTAGATGCCTGCCTGCGGATAGGAAGGTCGTGGATTTAGTACCTCGCGGGAACCAGACATATTTAGAAAATAACAGTGAGTCCCAGGTCGACCCAGCTTTGAGTGGGTACCAGGTACCGTCATAGGAAGTAAAGGCGGCCAGACTGATGCTGACCACAGCACCCACCAAGTGCCATTAGGTCTATAAAATATAGGTCTAGCCCAATATACCCAATACAACTAAAAAGGCGTAACAAAGTGTCCTTCACTTTAACTATACATCTCATTGCCTCTTGTGACATTGCATATTTCACCAATGAAAGTCTAATATTCATACCATGAGCACCATGGATGTCAGCGTGATAAAACTGACATTGACAGCGTTGGTGTAGAGGCGCCACTTTTAGACTCCAGGGTTTTTAAAATATTGTAACAAACTGCTAAAAGAACAAGCCTCACTCAACGTTTTCTAAAATATTGTGACAAACTGCTAAAAGAACAAGCCTCACTCAACGTTTTCTAAAATATTGTGACAAAGTGCTAAAAGAACAAGCCTCACTCAACGTTTCCCAAAATACTTGTACATTAAAAAGGTATCTGAACTTAAAAAAAATCTGCCATCAATGTAAAACCAAAACAAAAAATATTGGCTAAGTTAGTGTACTAGAAGCAAAAGCAGAGGGGGGGAACTTGTAACGAAGGAAAGAGAAGAGGTAAATATAAAGGAAATTATGGAAATCTACTCCTTGAAATCTCCTCGACTCCGAACCTTCAAGAGCTCCAAACAATATTAAGTGGCGAATGGGAGCCAAAACCCAGCCATAAGCTGCCTCAGTAACAAGAAAAAAAAGTTCGTTTAGGCGTGGGTATAATCAAAGTATCTCATCCTGACAGGAAATCTTCTGTGTGGGGTCTAATATATTTTAACAGTAAAACATAGGAACACTAACTAAAATAACAAGAATGTAAGTCGACAAATACAGAAACTTTATTTACTGAATGACATTTAACAATAATACTTGATAACACTCTGAAATCTAAGTATACTAAAGAACTACTAACTGAAGATATATGAGCAGACCAGAAAAAAACTAAACAAGCAATTGGTAAATCAATGAATAACAATATACTGACAGCTACTAGCCGACCAACAACCAGGCAGTGCCGTTACCTGTGGAAAAAAACCGAATTATGACTCCCTGTCCACTTTAACATATAACACATATACATATTTCATAGTTAGGTACCTTTGCTTTTTCTGGCCTGGGCATCTAGTGTCCAATATCATTTGCGATAGAGGTCGTCAGTGCTATTTACCACAATCAGCTCTGGGTTTAATCACCAGGCTGGGAATTCAAGAACAACAGCAGATGTGCAACATATCTCGCGATAATAGCAATGGTCTTTAAAGGTACATAACACAATTTAATGTCAGAGAACACCATATAAACACCCAGTAATTATCCTGAGTGCCATTACTCCTGAAACTCCACATCAAGTTAGGGTGGCTAGTATGGTGCTGATCACCTTACCCACCAAGTGCTGGTTGTTCTATAAAATATAAGTCTAACCCTATGTGCCCACAAATGTATCAAACAACAATAGTTATGAATCGTCCACTTATCATTATTACTAATCATAGATAATGATGCGTGCACTCATGTTTCTAACCCAACCTGTCATTCTATACGAAATATTACAATCCATTATTTATATTATAACCCCTTACTTAATTCCTGTTCATACGATAGCCCCTTCCCTGTTGCTGAAGCCTCAAGAAATTATATATTACACAAAACCCAACAGCTAAAACATTACCTACAACCTTGACAGTTATTTATTAAAGGAACCTCCTTATGAGACGTCCCTACACTTTCGGCACTATTTGGCAGTATATTTGGAAAGCTGCACGCCACTTGTAGCACACCCTGTGTGTACACAAGGCTTCTAGAAGAACCATGGCTTGTAGCACCGTGTCTCAAGTATTTACTAGTTACACGTGTTAAACCTCATAATGGTATTCTGACCTAGCCTGAAATGATAGAATTAACTTAATCCTTACTTGCCTGTAACCAAGAATTATTTCTCTGATAATGAAAAACCGTCAGATCACCCAATGTTCGCCATTAAACGACTCCAACTTAAACTCTCAGAATGAAGAGCCTGCCGTGACCTAAAACTATGGCGTGCCTTTCCCACACTTATTATATCCAAAAAAGTATTATATCAAACATTATTAATAATTATCTCAACTCAAATGATATCTAATTAGAGTAATAATTACTCATGGAACAGCCAGCCCCAATATTGTTGTACTTCCCACAAAGCAACACAAAATGATATCCTAAAAATACTACTAGTAAAACTGAATCAGAAACTAAGAACTCACGCAGTCCGTATCTAATTCGCGCTTTAACTGTGTACTGTTTGAGTGACAAATTGGAAGGGCTTCTAGCCTCTGTTGCAGCTACAGCTGGAAAAAGGAAGCTGTTCATAGAATCAGGCCTTTTATCACCTTCCATGACTCACGTGACTTGCTGGACACTAGTGTAGAGTTCCACCAAACCATCCTGCCAGTGCAGGCAGATATAGGCTGCTAAACCAAAACAGTAAACAGGCCAAAAATCTACCTTCTGTTGCTAGCCTGTTACATTCATCATTATCAAGTGACTTGCCGACTGGTGTTGGCGATCATGCCTCTTCATATTCTGCGATCTCCTGCAGCATGTATTAGTTCGTGTGCTGACACACCTCAATGCCATGCAACAAGACT